CCATTTGTACCATCGATCCGGAAATACATTAAATCCACAATAAAAAAATATAAAAATGAAGACCCAGGATAAAATGAAGTCTTATCGGCTTAAAGAACAGGCATCTAAGCCAAAAATCTTAATTAAAAAATCGAAGAACAAGAGTTTTGGTGGGATCTTGACCGACAGCGGATTGCTACTCCTGTATTATTGTTTAATTAATGGTTTGAAGTGGGTTTTGATATGTAAAAGTGGTGCGATTTTGTGTATTAAATGTCTGCGCATTTCAAATATTAGTGAAAATGGTGAAACAAGTGTTCCGATGGTGATGTGAATCTCAAGATAAAGCTTCTGTCTGCTTAGGTGCCTTGAGATACTATTGCCAACTGTCTATTGGCTCAAGATGTCATAAAAATCTCCCAATAACAATGTGACGCATCAAGATATTTTTGTGACTGACTAGATAATAAAATCTATAAAAACGATGATCCCGAATGCACTTCTTATTAGTTTGGAACAATGAAATGAAGACATGGTCTACAAAACAAGCATCCAAGCCAAAAACCTTATTAAAAAATACAAAAGTTATTATCTATGGTACGTTGGACATTGCATAGATATTATAGTCTAAAGTTCAATACTATATCTATGGGACATTGTATAAAGCTCGCTATTCACTATGGGATATAATATATATTATATCCCGAGATATAGTTTATATATATTATATCCCGAGATATTAATTAAACTGTGTGCAAAACATCTTGGCTTTCGGACGGCTGAAGATACTCCTATATACATAACCGACCATCTAACTGCTAAAAGCACACGATTGCACTTCCTGGCTAGAGAACTTGTCAAATCAAAAAAGTACAAATTTTGTTGGACTGCCTATGGAAAAGTTTATGTACGCAAGGATGAGGCTTCGCAAATAATAACCATCAAGAACGAAGCCCAAGTTCACCAGTTACTACAGACTGCATGACTAGATCAGAAGGCGCAATTTCTCCGGAATAATGAAATTATTTTACCTTTTTCTGTATTTCTCTTAGTGCGTAAGTTTTTTCTAAGAAATGTAATTAATTCAATAATCTTTAATATTTATATGTACTACACACAACTTATACACTCTAACACACAATTTACACTTACACTTATTAAAACCCTATCACTTTCACAAAAATTCATTATATATAATACTATCATTAAAATACAACTCAATTGTTAAATGAAAAATTTTAATCAAATAGAACAGTATACGGGAAGTGTAATTTATATATTTGGATTCGAACATGCCTTTTTATCTGTAAATATATACATTATATTATGCACAATAGGTATATACACGTATTTATACTCATGCAAACGACAGTTAATTTTACTACTTTTAAAATGGACAATTCCCTAATTACCTGGAAAGAATTGGATGACATCGAAATTGCAAACGTTATTGAGTGCGACATTGAAGACCTTTCAAATTACATTTCTGTGAAAAATAATGACTTAACTATAATATCTCAAAATATAAGAAGTGTGTATAGTAACATAGATGACCTAAATTTAACTCTATCTTTTTTGAAATTTAAACCTGATATTTTGATTTTGACCGAATGCCGACTAAGCCTCCAAAAAACAATTCCATGTATTTCTAACTATACTCATTTTGCTACAACATGTCATCTTAACCAGAGTGATGGAGTTGTAGTGTATATAAAAAATACTATAAATGCTAATGTTACAGAAATAATGTTAGAACACGCTTCATGCTTACAAATAGAGATATATAATAACACTATTTTAGCAATATACCGCTCTCCTTCTAACACAAATGCCAACAAATTCATTGATTCATTAAGTTTATACCTAGAAAACATTAAATCAAAAGAAATCATAATTCTAGCTGGTGACATAAACATTAACATTGCACCTAAAATAAATGAAAATTCGAATGAACGTAGTAACAGAGAGAATTATTTAAATATGTTAAGTATGCACGGCTTAATACCTGGTCATTACTCATCGACAAGAGAAAGTAGTTGCCTAGATCATTTTATTCTAAAGCTAATACAGGGTAAGGTCTATGCTCAAATTGCTATCTTACTTACAACAATTACTGATCACTCAATGATACTACTAAACCTATCCAACTTAAAATTATTAAATGAATGCACAAAGACAAAAACAATCACAGATTTTAAAAATGCTCTTAACAGTTTATTACAAAAGAATATCAATGAATTACTTTTTTGTGAAAATCCCCATACAGTTATAGAAACATTAGTTAATAAATTGAGTGAATCCTTACAAGAACATACAAAGATTGTGCATCTTCCAAAAAATAAACGCATATTAAAACCTTGGATAACTCCTGGCATTGTGCGTTGTATTAGAAATCGCAACAATTTGCAAAAAAAGTTACGTTCCGATCCTCACAATGAAATTCAAATAATTATATATAAAAGATATCGTAACAATTGTAATAAAATAATAAAAAAGCAAAACAGAGCTATGAAAGACAGGTCCTGAGGATGTCCCTCAATAACAGTAAAAGTCTTTGGAATAATATTAAAAGGATAGCACATCTAAATCAAACAAAAGTAAGTAATACAGATTTACTACATATAAAAGCAACACCATTAGATTCGGTAAACTATGTTAATAACTTTTTTGCTAATGTGGGTAAAAATCTTGCCAAAAATATTATAACTAGAAATAATGATAGTAAATATACAACAGTATTAGGGCAGCCCCAGTTTTCTTCCTTTGTCTTGCTAGATACGGATCCTCAAGAGGTACATGATATCATCATGAACCTAAAATCAAACAGTGCTCCTGGATGGGATAATATTCCAGTGCACTTTCTAAAACTTACAATAACTCAAATCACTCCTATAATCTGCCACTTTGTAAATCTTTGTTTTAAGCATGGCGTTTTTCCTGAACCTTTAAAACGAGCTGTTATAACACCAGTCTATAAGAATGGGGATAGATGTGATGCTAGCAACTATAGACCAATTTCAGTACTACCTTCGATTTCCAAAATATTAGAAAAGCTTATCAACACAAGACTTTTAAGTTATCTTACTAAGTTCGATATTTTGTCTAACTGTCAGTATGGTTTCAGACATGGTAAATCCACAGAAGATGCAATCTTAGCTCTAAGCTCGTTCATAGTTAACAACTTGGATCAGGGTAAAAAATGTCTTGCAGTCTTTCTAGACCTCAAAAAGGCCTTTGGTGCTATCTGTGTCCCCATCCTTTTACAAAAATTAGAAAATATTGGCATAAGGGATACAACCTTGACATTGTTTAAAAATTACTTATTAAACCGTACACAAAAAGTTAAAATAGATCAGTTTATTAGTGAGGACACATATACTACCTACGGTATACCACAAGGCAGTATTTTAGGCCCAACTTTGTTTCTAATTTATATCAATGATCTTTGTAATCTGAAAATTGATGGTAACCGAGTGTTCACATATGCCGATGATACTGCTGTAGTTTTTACTGGAACATCATGGGATGACATCCGTAAAGGTACAGAATCTGGCCTCACTAAAATTGCAAGCTGGCTTCAATCCAATTTTCTGACAATTAATGCACTTAAAACTAATTATATTTGTTTTACTATTAAAAATAGTATCCAACCGGGAAATAACTTCAACATAAAGATTCACACTTGCAGCATTGACAAATCTCAAAACTGTAACTGCTCTGTCATTACGAAAGTTTCTTCAACCAAGTACCTAGGAAGCATTATAGATCAACGCTTAACTTGGCATGAACATATTGATATAATAACATGTAGATTTAGAAAAATAACCTGGATTTTTAAAAAGCTTAGACATATTACTTCAGATAACCTTATTAACAAAATTTATGTAGCTTTAGCCCAATCGTTATTAACTTACTGCCTTCCGATATGGGGTGCAGCAACAAAAACAAAATTATTGCAATTGGAAAGAGCTCAGCGTGCCTTAGTAAAGACAATGTACTTTTTGCCTTATAAATTCCCAACAGAGAGCCTATATTTAAAATCTGATGTACTAAGTGTATGAAAATTATATATTTTACACACAATATTAAAAAAGCATAAAGATTTGTTTTATGACCCAAATATTTTGCATAAAAGAAGAAAAGACATTGTATTTAACACTTTTCGTGTTAAAACTGCATTTGCTAGACGTCAGTTCATCAACCAATCTATCTATCTGTATAATTCTGTTAACAAAAATCTTAATATTTACTGTAGAAATACCAAGGACTGCAAGTTATTAATTATAAATTGGCTGAAAACCCTGTCTTACGAAAGCACAGAAAAACTTTTATGTTTCAACACATAAGGTGAAAATAATATTTCCCAAAAAACACACACATGCACACAAACAACACACACACACACACACACACACACACACACACACACACATTTATTGTTGAATAATTTTAAACTACTTTTGTTTTTTTAGTTTTTTTTTCTTTGTATAATATGTAATTATATGTTTCTAGAAAGTTTTGTATAGCTATGGAAGAGCGGGAGTCTCTGACACCAGTGCCTTAAGGTGCTTAAAAGACGCTCCCTACCTTATGCAAATTGTGAAATGCTTAATCAAATAAAAGATGTTATAAAAAAAAAATATCCCGAGATTAGCTTTCATACTGTGATATAGATCTTTTAATCAGTGTGCGTTCGTCATTGGAGTTTGTTCCCCGCACACCGTTCCGCGCTGCCGCAGAACGGTGTGCGGGGAACAGGGGGCGAAATATAATATGAAAATATCGCTCGCTCGATTGAAAAAATATTTATAGTATGAGATGTAATATATATATTATATTACATCTCAGTGTAAATGGTTCCATTAAAAAGTATGGTGATTTATATTAATTTATATCTCGTGATATAATATAATATATTTTACATAATATCCCATAGTGAAATGCAGGCTTAATTGTCAGGCTGAGAAGGGCTAGAACCCAGAGCCGTAAAGCCAGTTATAAAAAAATGTATAATTGTCAATGTCAACAAAATATTTCTTGATTCTTGCTTGTACAAATTTTTCTTTTCCTATTATATTTAAAAACTTTGACTTGTGGAGAGTACAATAATCCTAACAGAATTATTGTCTACTCTTCACCACAATTGGTTTAGTAAAACAAATACAATTTAATTCTGATGCAATGGCAACTATCAGTATTCCAAGGATATTTCAAAATTTAATTGATAAAAAAAACTTTTCATGCTGTGCCCTGTGCTTACGAACAGAAAGAGAAGTGCAAATGACGACTCCGTTGATGTTCAGAAAGGTTCTAGCAGCACTGGACCATTCTGTAAGTTTACAAAAAAATGTTATTTATTTTAGTTTTTAATAAGGACTTAAGTGTGACCTAGTTTGTTGAGATTAGTGCGCCAACAAGCATTGGGGCAGCGCGGTTGACACTTTCTTGTCTTTAATCCCTTTCAGTTGTGGAAGGCGGCCTGTGCCCAGCTGTAGGGCTTTCAATCACTGATGATAGGTTCCCTTTATATAATGAAGGATGATTCCCTTTTCAAACTACCACAAGTACTAATGTTGCTACCACCGTCATACCAAACCATGACATTAGCTATTGACTTTGTTTGTTCTGTAAAAATACCCCTACACTAGTACTTCTGTATTGTGGAGACATTTTATTACATATTATAAGATATATAGATTATACAAGGGCAAACATCCAGACCTAGAACAATTATTTGTAGGCTATAGAAATACTAGTGCCATTCGGAATACAAATCCGTGGCCCTCGTGCCCTAACTCATTGCTAATTCACTAAACCATGCAGCCATCAAACTTTAATTCAACTTTTAAATAAATATTTCAGGACTTTGAAGTAGATCGTATTTGTAACTGGTGTGAAGCACGTGCAGCGACAGTTGCCCGATTTGTGGACATGGTGGATTTGGCTCTGGAGGTGCAGGGAGTTTTAAAGAAAGTGAACAAAACAAACAAAAAAATGGCGGTAATTTGGTTTTGTTTTTTCTTTTTATCATTTTTTAATGGAATATGAGTGACTATTCGATACGACTTAGGGACCTTTAAGAAAAGAGCGTACTCCTTTTTAAAAGGCCGGCAACACATCTGCAATTCCCTCCCTGGTGTTGCAGTTCTTCATGGGCGGCGGTAGTCACCATCAGGTGAGCCGCATGCTCGTTTGCCCCCTCTCCTATAAAAAAAAAATAACATACATACAGTCCACCTAATAGTAAGTGGATATTGTGGCCCATAGATATCTACATTTATCCTCGATTAAAAACCAATATGCAGATGCGTTTTCACCCCTGAGGACTAAGATGGAATGTCCAGTAAAATGGGTTTCTGGTTCTCTACACTCACAATATGAAAACTCGTGTTCTGTGGTAGGCAGCGTTTGGGACACTACGACACATTTTCTCATTGGGTATTCCTTAAAACTTGAATACAATATTGTCCAGTGCATATTGCCAGTGTTGACAGTGGATCTGAGAAGTGGTCCTTCACTGCAGCCGTATGAGGAAGGTTCAGAATATAGAATAAAACACATTGGTTGAATATTGTTATGTATTAAGCTTGGTAACATTACAAAAGACAAGTGTTTTAAGTGAATATGAAATTACCTACATTTAATTTACTTTATTAATTAACAAAGTAAACAAGTACCCCCAAATATTCTATTTGTTATTCTTAACAATAAATCTTTGAATATGGGGGCGTTCAAGTATTACGTCCCGCAATTTTTGAAGATTTTTTACCCTCCCGCCCCCCTATGTAACGCGCCGTAACGTTTATCTGGACCCCCCCTCCCCCTCCCTAAACGTTACGTAACACCCAAGTGACAATTTTTAACTAAAAGTCACAATTATGTTGCGCAAAGTACCGGAAAGTAGCTAAAATAACGTTGTTATTGTTTTAATCGCGTTTGCGGTAATAATAAATAAAACAAGAGATAAGAAATGTCTTAAAACTCACAATAGATGCATATATTGTTTATTTTATTTATTCATATTGTTATTTAATAAATAATCACACATAATGTAATAAACATTTGCTTAAGTTTTAAATATGTTAAAATGGGCTAAAATTCGTCCTAATAAACTTTTACTGCTAACTTTACATTTAATTACGCCGTTTTTCTGACTTGCCCCTTTCCTCACATACATTTTTGGCTTAATTTACCAAGGTCTTCTCATGCATTCTCCTGTTTTAGCTTTTTTTTACTAATAAACTATTAAAATAAAATAACATATTTATTTTAATCTTTGGCAATGCAATGGAAACCTAACTGAAATAAAACATTTTAGTCCAAATAAAATTGTATTCTTAGCTAAAAATTTAAAATAAAAACAGCCATAATTAAAATACGTAGGTATGTAAAAAAAAGATCAATTTAATTGGAGTTAATATTCCTCTGTCCACGGGTTTGCCGGCCACTCAGACTCTTTCATTACTGGCATCCGGAAAGCAGACGCAGTGGATTCCGGAATTGTTAAACCACTTGCATCAACTTTGTCTTCGTCAAGCCAATCGGCATACTCAGACGATGTTTCACAGCATCGCACAATGCAGAGAAGCTCATTTGCCCTTCTGGCAGCAGTCGCTGTGGCTGTACTCTATTTTTACGACGGTCTTGGGCAGTCTTGCCATACACGTAACGACTGTGCATTTGCACACTCTTGTGAGATGTGAAATAGATCCCACATGTTGCACATATTCTGTTCTTGAGGTCAGATTGTACTAATGGGCAAAATAAATCGTAAGGCATCTGCTTAAACCCTTCTAGAGGAGGCGACAGATCATCTAACAACCTCACAAGAAGTGGTGAAAACTTGCATGATCCTTTGTCCAGCTGACCAGGTACGACGAGCTTGCTTGGGGTTTGAAAGATTGGGCAGGGTGGCAGCAGGAAAGTATTTGGAAAGACAGATTTCAATGCACTCCTGCAGCGGGAACAGCAAGATTCATCCGCGCATTTAATCACTTGTAAGAAATATTGCGATTCACGAACGTGAGCCCTATACCATGCCAGATTAGGTTCTGCTGGATTCTGCAAGCTATCTTCCGGCTTTCAATATTCCGCCGAAACATCATAGCTGTCAATTTTCATTTCCCTCCAGATCTTAGCAAGTGTCTCTCCAGCGTGCTGAAAATTGAGTTTTTCCGAATCATCATGATTACTGCCTTTCATAAGTCCACTGCTGAACATAGGCCTCCCCCAAGGAATGCCATAAAACACGATCCCGAGCCACCTGCATCCATCGACTACCTGCATATCCTACCAGGTCGTCACTCCATCTAGTGGGGGATCGCCCTACACTTCGCCTCAAAGAACTGACGAAGCGACAAGCTTCTGTGCAAATCTAAAAAAAATCTGTGTTCAGCAGTCGCATTTTTTTATAGTTGAGGGGGCAAACGAACATGTGGCTCACCTGATGGTAAGTGACTATCACCGCCCATGAACAACTGCAACACCAGGGGAACCAGGGGAATTGCAGTTGCAGGCCTTTTAAAAAGGAGTAGATTCTTTTCTTGAAGGTCACTAATTCGTATCGGTCTGGAAAAATCGCTGATGGTAATCGATTCCACAAGGAAGTTGTGCGAGGAAGATAACATCTTCTAAATCGCACAGTGGTGGACCGCCAATCATCCAGACGGTGTGGGTGATATCGGAAGTTCTGCCGCGATGTGCGTGCGTGAAATCGCCACTAAATTTTAAGAGAGGACAGAGCAAGGAACGAAAAAAGCAAAAGGTGCTTGGCTTTGAATTTTAGCCATTGTTCACACACCAGACATGTTGCGGCCTTATCATACTACGGCAAGGACCCTCTTCAGACCGTTTTTCCAATAGGTAATTTTCCAAAAAATTGTGCCAGAGAAATATTAGTACGTATTAGAAATCGCACCAGGATTCAACCGAGGCAGCTTTTCTTTTGATTTTGAAGTAAATACATCTATGTGTTTCGAACTCAATGCCAACACGAAGCGTACGCCTTCAACAGTATGATCCTGCTGCGGCTTCCGCGGCGGCCGCGCCTCGCTCGTTCAGTCAATTCTTCAGCATTTCCATAGATATTATATATACTACTACTTCCATATATATTATATATATATACTACATAGGCAGGCATTTCGATCAAAACACACTTAGCGAACGGTTATGTCACTCGTTTCCGCGCCACAACCAAATACAAATTGTAGGAAAATTTATCGACCAAGTGAAAAATGAAAAAGTTTTAGCCCCAAATTAGCTGCCCTTAAAATCTGCCGCCCTAGGCTCCAGCCTACTCAGCCTGCTGGTAAATCCGCCACTGGTAAAAGTACTTTGTATTCCAGGTGCATTAAAAGAGAACACAGTCGCAATACAGTCGAGGGATTCCCCGTAAAACATAGACAAAAAAGGTTGCCAACTTGGGAGGACAGAATAAAAATGACGTACCATACAATCAAGGGATTCCCCGTAAAACGTAAACGAAAGGGGTTGCCAACTTGGGAGATTTTAATTTCCTAGTTTTTATTGAAATAAAAAAAAAGTTACGTAACGCGTTATTGGAAAACCCCCTCCCGCCCCTGTAACGCATGGTAACGTTTTATAAGACCCCCCCTCCCCCCAAATTGCGTTACGTAATACTTGAACGCCCCCTATGACAGTTTCACTGCGTGATAAACTTAGGAATGAGGATATCCACTGTAGAACCAGGGTAACCGACTTAACACAATCGATTAGTGAGCTGAAAAGGCAATAAAAGGCCATATGGCTCAAATAACCGACAATCAATGGGTAAGAAATGTTCTCGAGTGGCAGCTTGGTACTAGTTGGCGATGTGTGAGTCCCCCTCCCCCACTTATTGAGTGATATTGAGCTATAATGATTCTGTGAGAGAGTGGTCCTACCTTGGTCAAGCTGACTCATTCATGCTGCAACCATAATATAGCAACTAAAGTGTGGCTCTACCACATACAGACATAGCATGTTACTGTTGGGCGGGCACATTGTGAGGCAGGCGTTGTATGCTAGTTGTCAATTTATTAGTGTTCCTTCATTAGCTGACTGATAAACAAGTACAATGGTTGAAACAGTAATATGAAATAACCCGATTGCATAGAAATGATTACTGGAATGAAAAAGGTTTATATGTGGAAGAGCCATAGCAGCTATATTATGGTTGTATCACAAATGGGTCGGCTTGCCCGGGGTAGGACAATGCTCTCACAGAATACCAATATAAAATAGCAGCTTAATTCTGCTGTATTTTGTATGGTAAGTGTAGAGACCCGAAACGAACACCCTTTTTTAATGGAAATGAGGCATTTCATCTTAGTCCTTAGGGGTGATAATGTATCTGCATTTTGATTCTTTATTGAGGATAAATGTAGAAACCATGGGGTTCTCTACACTCAACATACGAAATACAGCAGCATTAAGCTGCTATTTTACTCTGGTTTTCTGTGATACAGTACCACTACCTTTATAGCATTTTTTTCGCTGCTGAACATGGGCCATAGATTGCTTCATAAGGTGGATATTTGCCATAGTTGCCACTCTTGCTAGGCTTTTTGGCAACCGCAGTTTTATATTTTGTAGTTGTTTAAAGACACTGCGGCCTGTCTCCTGATTTTTTTCCCTCTGTCGCCTCTTAAGACATCTATGGGACAATATGGGATAGTGGATATTCTTACACCGCTGATCATTGATTTCAGAAAAGACGTCTACTGCAAAGACTTCAGTACTACCAGAGCAAGTGTATGGAAATGAGAAAGGCAACGCAACTAACCAATACTGAAGTGCTGGTTATAGATGCCCTAGATGTGAGTCTAAAAAACTGTTTGCAGCCAATTTAAAAAAGGGAGGCGGCTTACAATTTGAATGTGGGCTTAGCTTTCCATTGACGTCCGTCGAGTTGGGGGTTGATATTTATATATATTCAATCAATTCGGTTCTTTGACATAAGTTGAACCTAACCTATTTTATTTGTTATCTGCCCTAATACGTACTGTTAAAATAAAACAAATTTCAATAAGAGATCATTTATTATGGTATCATTCTTGTTTATCATAAAATGTATTTATATTTACATTATAAATGCAAACAAAAAATATCGATATTTTAGAAATCGATTTTTTGTGAATCGATACATCAGCTTACGATTTGAATCGATTTAAAAATCGATCTTTTTCGGAAAGAAACGACATCCCTACTGACGCTGATAAAAACAATACAAAATAGCGTCAGTTTTACGGTAGGAATTGACATAAATATTGCTAAATAATTGATTTTCAATAATTTTTTTCTCAAAAAGTACGTGTTTCCGCATGTTGTAACTTTGCGTGTGTGCTTATAATAATGTAACCTATCCGTAAAATAAAATATCAACCCCCAACTCGACGGACGTCAGTGGAACGACTTACCTGAATGTGTTTTTTTTTTCTTTTTTTTTTGTATGTATGTGATGCAATATCTTCCTCTATTGTGAACCAATTTTTACGATTCTTGTGTTTAAATAACTTCGTTAGTCTAGTGGTCGTAAACGCGACTGTTTATAAGGTCCTGGGGTCCTGGGGAGTTTTCCTGTCAAGAAATTCTCGTAATAACTATTGGTTAATCTGTGACGTCACGAAGCGACCTCAAAATGGCGGCCTCAAAAAGGACTGTCGCCTCACGCAATGTAACGAATTCTTTGATCCCTTAGCTATCGAGTTGTGTAATTACGTTGTGGATGTAGATGATAGATATGTAACTGCAACACCAAACTGTATCCCCCGACTTTGTTATCATCATATCATTTTAAGAAGGAATAAATGATTGGTAATAAGCTTATAATATAAGGCTATGGTAGCGTGTGTCCTTCTGGCACAAGTATTTTAAATACTTAAAAGGAGGTCTCAGTTATAATACCGTATCAATTTACAATGTACTTATTACCCAATAAATATAAAGTTTCCTCATCTGGTTGGGCTGTTTAAATATATAATTGTAAACGAAATATATAAACATACATAAATATCAATAAAATAGAATAAATATATAAAAAATACATAAATATATAAAAACCCAACCAGATGGAAGCCCTCGGCAGGGTAGACCAAACGGCCGAGGGTTAGTGAAAGAAACCGGCGGACGATGTGGGCGGTATCGAGGAGCACCGCCTTCTGCATTTGAGCTTGGAGCGGTCCGTCACGGAGTCCCAGTCGCCTCAGATGACCCGAGAGGCTAACTGGGATTAACCCGTTCGCAGAAACGACCACAGGAATAATTTCGGCCGGCAGACCACCCCACATGTCGGTCACCTCGTGAGCCAGGTCCAGATATTTTGTCAGCTTATCTGTTTCGGCTTTCACGAGGTTCTCGTCATAAGGAATGGTAATGTCGACCAAAAATATCCTTGACTGTGCCCGGTCCATCAGCACAATATCAGGCTTATTCGCAAGAATAGTCCTGTCTGTGATGATGGCCCGGTCCCAGTAGAGCCTGGCGCGGTCATTTTCGAGCACGGCTTCCGGCAAGTACTTATAATATGGCAGTTTCCGATCCACGAGACCGTATTTCAGAGCGAGCTCCTGGTGTAGAATCCTGGCTACTAGATTGTGTCTGTGCAAATACTCAGAGTTAGAAAGCGCCGAACAACCGGAGATGACATGCCTAAGTGACTCACCGGGATGGCGACAAGCTCGACAGATGACGCCGCATGCGTTGGTCAATGCAGATGAACAGCAACGCATTGCGGGCGTATTTTAGGGCGAAAGGGGGAGAAATTGTAGGTTTTGCGTATCGGGCTAGGATGCATCGACTTTTTGCTGAGCTGGAGCCATCTATAACCGTCACCGAGCAAAACCTGGCAGACCGAGTTCGGTATATCTTATTACCCAATAAATATTATTATTATTATTTTCAGTTTTCTAAATTCCCTCCACTTTGGAAGCAATATCTGGGGGCACGGCAGTGCCCTCGCCAAGTCGAGCAAAAAAGCGGCACGGCCGTACCATCCTTTTCTCGAAGCAGTTCAGGCCATTTTCGAAACCCTATAACTTCATTGTGGATAAAACTAAAAGCCTGAATTCAGTAACCAAGTATACATTGTATAAACATGTGTAATATAATGGAATAATAGGTGTAGATAGGTACCTAGATATAACTATCTACAAAAAAAAAATGAGATGCCATCAAAAACATAACTTGTAAAAAAAATCAAGTCTCGCAATTCAGTTCTTCTACTGTAAAATGTTGTGAGATCCATGTAATACCAAGTCGGTTAATTTATTCAGTCCCTACTTAAGGGTCCTTCTCTCTTAAGTTATTACTTAATTAGCTAAACTAACATCTTATAGTGACCATATCAATATTAAAAATCTTTTATGTTTTAAATAAATAGATTGACTTGGCCATCGCATGAAAACGCAATGTATCTCACAAGTAATACATATTATATTAAATTAGATTGTTTAGTGCGATTGCAAGTCAATTTATTTATTTAAAACATAAAAGATTTTTAGTATTGATGTGGTCACTATAAGATGTTGTTAGGTTAGCTAATTACGTAATAACTTAAGAGAGAAGGACCCTTAAGTAGGGACTGAATAAATTAACCGACTTGGTATTACATGGATCTCACAAATTTTTATGGTAGAAGAACTGAGTTGCGAGACTTGGTTTTTTTTACAAGTTATGTTTTTGATGGCTTAAAGATTTATTCACGTCAATAATTATATTTAGACAATACATGTACCCTAAACTCATCTCATTCTCATAGATTACAATTTTCACTAGGTCGTTGTAGGTGCATGTAGAAAGTGACATAAGAGTATAGGAGACATAGGTACGGTGGTACCTACACAAACATACTCCTGAGAAATTACCAGTGAGTGTGTAATGGCAGGCTGTGAGGCATTCCACTGTAGTCTTTAGAGAAGATCTACCTCCGTCTATTGTCCCTTGCCGACTCCGTCACTCACTTCTACTCTATACATTTGCTTTATCACTCTTTCCTTTAAAGTTACAGCCTATATACGTCCCACTGCTGGGCACAGGCCTCCCCTCATTTCTGATAGGGTTTTAGGGCAAGGAAATGTCCGCCGCGCTGCCCCAATGCGTATTGGCGAACATCACATGTCTTCGAAATTTCTTTTTCTTATTTCTCAGACATGCAGGTTTCTTCGCGATGTTTTCCATCACCGCCGAGCACATGGTAAATCAGCACTTAAAATTGCAATTAACAATTTCATTGGTGCCGGCTGGGATGGAACCCGAGTTGCTCGCGTACTGTGAAATTCACAACGAGCGCTAACCATCTGAGCTACCACGGCTCAGAATTTCTCACATGATTCCTTTTCTACAGAATTAATTTTACTTTCATGCCTCCCCCTGCCACATATAACTCTCACTACCATCCACTAGGATAAGGGTCTAGGGTCATTAATTTGCTTTATCATGAAAATATGTTTGATTTTAAATCTGTACGCCATGGCAAAAAGCCTACCATCTAAGCCTACAAAGAATTCTTCTGCCTACCGTTACTTTATCCATGGTTGTCCCATAGGTTGAAGGTGTCGTTGTCGGTTCGGATACTTTGGAAGAGAAGGAAAGAGCGGAAAAAGCACAAGAGATGAACCAGTAAGTAAACTTTGAACTCATATCCACACAAGACTGTCTTGGAGCCAAAACATTCTCTATTCAATTTAGGATAAACTGTCCTTATCCCGATAGAAACTAGTTCAGAACCTGTATAAATAAAATACAAGTTTAAATTTGATTTTGGAATTTAATTTAATATTTATTTTCTGGAGAGCCAACTATACACGTTGAATGCGGAGATCAGAAGGGAAGTTGCCAATACAAAAATTGGTAAATTTAAATTAAAGTGTTGCTAGTAAATTACAAAGATAATAATTAATACACACAGACTACAAATAAATATTAATGTTTGATAATTTATTAAACAGAACCGATCGAATGTTATTCGAAGTTCGAACTCATTTAAATTTCGAACTCTCGAGACCGTAGTAGCCAGCGCACAATCGAATGATGGTTCAAATTGGAATTATCAGTACGAAAGTTTTCAGCTGTCCGCCGCTAGATGGCGCTCGTAATTATAAACAAAGATAACGCTTTTTCTTGATTACTTTGTATTTTACCACATTTTTATTAACTCGCTTCGAATATAGCTCAGAATCATATGAAAATATCATAAGTTGCAGCTAAATTATGGTTGAATGAAGAAACATTCTCTCACAGAATACCAGCGTGAAATAGCAGCTTAGTGCTGTAGTGTTTCGTATGCTGATTGTAGATAATCGGAGGCACATTTTACTGGAAACTAGGCATTCGATCTTGGTCCTCAAGGGTGATAACTCATCTGCATTTTGATTTTTAACTGAGGTTAGATGTAGATACCTATGGACCACAGCATCCACTTACTATCAAGTGAACTGTGTGCTCGTTTGTTACTCTTTATTCTATTAAAAAAAAAACTATACTGTTTAATAATTTTTAAAACCTTAATTTCAGTGCGATACAGGAGATAGAAACAGTAATCATAGAAGATGAAACTCCGAACAGTAAGCACCCTACGATATTGCCTGTGCCTCAACAGTCACAAAATAACCCTCTTGGTAACATCTCATCGGTCACTAGCATGAAGTCAGTCGAATCCACTCTGTCCAATTCATCATCATTCAACGTTGCCATCGGTGCGGACGGGTTCTTGTATATACTGCCATCATCGGACGTCCCTATTATACCACAACAACTAATATCACAACAGCTAACATCACAACAGCTGGAAACTTGTTCAAACGTGTCACAGATTAATTCCGTTAATAACGGAGTCATCACGAGTGCAGAAAAAAGAACTATGGTACCGGCGGAACAAAACAGTAAAAGGCCAAGACAGCTCGAAGTTGATCCTCCTAGAAGCACAAGTGATGATGATGATGATGTCATATTAATCGGTGATGAGGAGCCCAAAGCTCAGGAGCAGGTTGTCAAGTACCCAATCAGAATAGACTCCAAGGTTGATTGGGAGGACAAAATACCTATAGACATTATATCTTTTGTGGTAAGTTACATTTGTACTGTGTAGTGGGGTGTAAGAAGTAGTAAGTCTCCTGATTTGTTTCCCTCCTTCGCCTCTCACGACACCCAGAGGATGTTATAAGGTATGTACCACCCACCATATTGCTAAATCCAATGCCTTCACTACTGTGTTCCAGTTTGAAAGGTATAGAGTATGCTTGTCGTCTTGTTGTGGAACTCCTTGCCTTCATATATTCGACATGCTCAGTCTCTTTTTCCCTTCAAAAATCTACTCAAAACGTATTCATTGGAACTCTCTAATATTTCCCATCATAATTCCCGCCCTTAATTGTATCTATCCTACCTATGCTCAACCGTCATCATCTTGTGTGTATATACTTATAATTTTTTTTAACTTGATTGTCAGATTTATGTACACCTTCCCTATTTGCAATTCGCTGTAAACAACAGCTGTTTGTTATAACGGTTGACTGGAAGAAATCGCTTCCACAGCGATAGTACTGTCTATTGTACTTTTTTTAGGATCGAGTGACAAACGAGCACACAGTGCACTTGATGGTAAGTGGTTGCTGTGGCCCATAGACATCTACATCTATCCTTGTTTGCTATCAAAATGCAGATGCGTTATCACTCGTGAGGACTAAGATGGAATGCCTCGTTTCCAGTAAATTTGGTCTCCGGTTCTCTACACTCACAGTGTTAAGCTGCTATTTTACGTTGGTATTCTGTGAGAGCGTGGTCCTTTGTATATATTTATTTAATTTTGTCTTGTTCTAATGTGTATTGGTGTACAATATATATTGATTATAGAGAGCCATTATAATTACACGCTGTGTGACATTCACCATCTTAGTCCACAGAGGTGACAACGTATCTGTAGGCTTCTTTATTTTTTTTTATAGGATAGGGTGACAAACGAGCACAGTCCACCTGATGGTAAGTGGTTACTGTGACCCATAGACATCTACATTTATCCTCAATAAAGACTAAAGATGCAGATGCGTTGTCACCCGTGAGGACTAAGATGGAATGCCTCGTTTCCAGTAAAAAGGGTCTCCGGTTCTCTACACTCACCATACGAAACACAGCAGCGTTAAGCTGCTATTTTACGCTGGTATTCTGTGAGAGCGTGGTACTTCCCCCGTCGAGCCGACCCATTCGTGCTACAACCATAATATAGCTGCAGCATGGCTCTACCACGTATAAATACATGCTCGTCGGTTATGGGTACTCTTAATTTGGCCCATTTTCAATATATCGCCAATTTGGTCTATAAACTTTCGCTTATGGCGTCCCTTCCCAACGCTGCCGTTCACCTCTGCAACATAAAGAACAGTGGCAGAAATACATAAAATTAGTTGACAAAAAACGGTAGCGTTTATATATCAAAAATATCTTAAAATGTTAAGCGTCAGTCCCTTAATAACTCTGTCAAAGAATTTTGTCCTGAGAAGGCGTCAAAAAAAGGTTTTTAGGTTACGTCTTATGTCACTTGGACAAAGTCATGCAGTTGGTTAATGTTAGCTTAATACATTCTCAACATAATGTACCTACCTAAAAAATTGAGAGTTTTTAGATTATTGTAACTCTATTATATATTTGCATACTATAAATGTATATTTCTGGCATGGCTCCAAGGCCTTTTGTGTCATACAGTGACATTCTCAGAAGGGCTAGAACCCAGAGCCGTAAAGCCAGTAAAAAAAACAGTAACATTTTGTTTTGCTAGTGTTGCCATAACATTAAATGGAATTGTTACATAGTACTATGATTGACATAATGTATTATTGTAGGAAGTTCTTTGTAAGGTACTTATTTTCAACCATATCACTTTTATTTTTATTACTACTGATAGTATAGTTATTACTAGTAACAACTTAATATAAAAATATTTTGTGTTTGTGTGTTGTGTTGGTAGTCTTATAAAGTGTATACGAAAATAGTATGAAGATAGTAAATGGCAACACTTGAATAGAGTAAACTGATTTAAGTCATTTGATATTCCCAAAAATGTTTATTTTTTTCTGTGGCTTTAATTAAAATACATTTTTATTTTAAAAATCATAGAAAAATAATAAAACTCATTTTATGTATAAGTAACTTATTTCTAGACGCAATAATTTTTGTCAACTATTTTTCAGCCATTGTTCTTTGCTTGGTCACTCTTTTTTCAGTTTAAAAAATGTATTATAAGGGTTTTTTGACCTGGACAATGGAACCCTAAAATAATAATACCGTTACTGGTACAGCCTATTAAAGTCCACTGCTGAACATATACCTTCTACATAAGGTACCTCATAGCGGGAATATTTGTCGAAGTTCTCACACTGTGCAAGTGGGTTGCCAACTGCAATTTTTATAATTTTTCAAAAAGAGTCAGTTCCTCACTGTCGCCTCTTACGACACCCATGGGACGATATGAGGTAGTGGATATTCGTACACCTCCACTACACGGAACTTACCCTATACTATATATCTAAAACGGTTTTTCTTTACAGGACAGTCAATCATCGCGTGTCATGCCTAAAATTAAAGGGCCAACGTTCAGCTTGAACAAGAACATCTGTTGAATTAAACTGTGAGTCCTGAACGAGGGCTGATAATGTTACGCTCGCCAGATGTCGCTAGTTGGGACAGAGGTGAATTTGTCACGCATATGGTCACTCAGTGTCATCATCATTGAAAAGTTGCCATTTGAATAAAATTTTTTCGGTTTCTATTGTATGTCGGATTGTCATCCCATCGGACTATGAGAGTGAGGCGATAGAGAGTGCACCTGTGCTTGCGCATACATTCGTGCACTATAATCCTGCGGAGATAGCTAGCCTACGTTGAGACCGGACGCCGTGACAGAAGCTCTGTGTAGAAGACATTAATTTAAACAATTATTTATATTAAACTAGCTGGCCAGGCAGACGTTGTTCTGCCCATACCGAAGACCCTTTGTCCTATTAAAAAAAAATCCTTAAATTCGTAATAAAAAATATTGAGGGTCACTTATCGGGATAAAAATTATCCTATCTCTCAAGTTGGACCAAATTGCACACATTGTGAAACATTTCATTGCAATCAGTTCAGTAATTTAGGAGTTTATCGCGGACAAACAATGTGACACGTATTTTTTATATATAAAGATGTTAATATATTTTTTCACCACGAAGTTTTCCCTATCCAAATAGACTCTACCTCCGACCACAGATACATATAAAAACCCGTTGATATAATGTTATTTTATTTTTTATTTTTAGTAAGTATTGTCTTAAGTTAAATTTTTATCTGTATAAAATGTCTTAACTACTACTTTCTGTATTGTCTTAAATACTACTTTAGTATTTATCTTTAATATATATTGAAGATAATATTGATATGTAATGTGCAGTTTAATTGATTATCAAAAAAACAAAACTCAGATTAAATATATCAGTATGTATGTAATTGTAGTTGATTAATTTTATTTCGATGGGTTTTTGTAATAAAAAGAAAATAAATTTACAATTTAGATTTTCGTTATTAACAATGCTAATGAATTAGTATGGAGTAATAAAAGATGTGAGTTAAACTTTCATACTTTTATTAGTAAAATAACTTTTTCTTCTTAATGTTGCCAGTACAAAACACACAATGTTTTGTACTGGCAACACTGGTATTTGTAGTAATTTGTGGCGGGCGACACTAATATTTCTATAAACACACTTCATACTTTTGTATTATATTTTTATTTGCATTAGAATAACCGATAATTAGAATTAATATAAGATGTAAATAATTAGGTTAAGAAAGCCATGCGACCCGGTGGTTTTAAGAGTCGTTATTTTCAATTAAATAAAATGTATTACATACTGTTGTTTTTTTTTATCGCATACTCCATTACCGTCAACCGTGTAGTGGCGGTGTAAGAATATCCACTACCCATCGATATATGTGTACTACGCTCTAGATTTCACATTCTGAACATTGACTATGTTCAACTGAACTGTACCGTAATCCGTACACTAAACTAAATATTGCGTAAATTGAAGATCTGTGAATTCCATAAGATTATTATTATTACATTTTATTTAGAAATATGTTTGTTTAGATTAAAATAAGAGGATTTTCTATAAAATTCTTATATTTATTTTATATTAATATTTTATTTTATATTAAACTAGCTGTTCCCCGCGACTTCGTTCGCGTGTTAGGGTTTTTATGTTTTTGCGCGGAACCCTAATTCTTTTTCTAAAATGAAAATAGCCTAAGTTACTCCTTATGAAATCAGCTATCTGCCAGTGAAAGCCCCGTCAAAATCGGTCCAGCCGTTTCGGAGATTACCCGGAACAAACAGACAGACAGACAGACAAAAATTTTAAAAATTGTATTTTAGTTATAGGTACCGTATTTACTTTCATATGCATTTAGTAAAAAACTGTAATTTTGACATTACAAACAGACACTTCAATTTTATTTATTTGTATAGATGAAAGTCTTCGCGCATGCGCGACTCTACTATCTCCCGCGCATGCGCGAAGACATGAGTAGCGCACAATTTGTGTTTGGAATAGCTTCTCTAGTATGTAGTACATATAACTCAATGCCCCTACCTCATATCCGTTCCATGAAACTGATACAGGAGATGGACAGCAGCATCTACCTGATAACAACAAAAAATAATATAAAACTGTGGTTGCTAACCTTCCTTCCAAGGCTGGCAACTTTGGCGATATGAGGCAATCTATGTGGGTGGCCTGTTTCTACAGTGGACTTGTGTAAGAATAATTTCACGTATTAATTCTTACGTCGCTTCTTGGTCTTCAGCACTGCTAGCATGGGCTGAGGACAAAACATTTATCCCCTGATTATATCCACTGACAAGAGATAAAATTATCTTGTCCTTATGCCAAAGCACGGTAACGGGGAGAAGTATATCCCCGTTTGACATAACGAGTAGACATATATCCCCCGTCCGTAGCATCATGGGGGTGCAACTTAGAACATTAATTTACGAACAAAATGATACGTTTTATGTGCTTCCATCTACATTCCGAAGCGCTAGGCTAGACTTATTTTAATCTCACTAGAGGGCACTTATATATTAAGTCTATGCATACGCAATAATCCACGCGCACTACGCAGTTAGTAGCGGTCACTGGTTACGCTTAAATTGTTATTAATATTTATTGAACATTATTTATTTTTAGAAAATGCCATTTTATCTGTGTTTTCAGACAATGAAACACTGCTAAAATATTATTAGAATACGAAGGTAAGTTTCGCCACAACGCATAAGCTTATAATAGCTCAGGTGGATAAACGGGCGGTTTCGAAATCTAAAGACCCCGGATCGCGTCCAGCAAGATGTGTTTATTTTTTCCCTTTTTTCAAGTTCCTTCTTTTGTAAGCGCCGTCTGTTATGCAAACATAGATTACCTCCTAAGGAGGTAATCTATGTTTGCACTGAAGAGGACTTAATTACCGAGAATTACCTGAAATTACAAGAAACTCTCTCAGTACCGTATTTGAATGTTGTGCTATTGAACTTGTGTCTTTTAATGTTATAATTATTTGTTTATACAGAACTCCTAATTATAGCAATATCTCTATCTTTTTCGAAAAACTTGAAACTTTGTTGGATAGAGTTAGCAAATATAGAACTAAGAAAACTATAATATGTGGTGATTTTAATATTGATGTTTTAAAAAATTGCATGACAACTAATGTAGTTATTAATCTTTTGTCGAGTCATAACTTTAAAATTGAATTCATGGATGCGACTAGATTACAAAGTGGAACGTGTATCGATAATATCATTCATAACTGCCGTGGGTGTAAAAGCAAAATTTTACATTTAGGATTATCCGACCACACTGCTCAAGTGTTGCAATATCATATCTCAATAAATTACTCCTGCTTGCGATACTGGTTTATCAAAAGACGTGACTATAGTATTGAAAATCTAACCAAATTTAGAGAATGCCTGGAAAGCTTATCCTTTTACGATATTTATCAAAGCAATGATGTAAACGAAGCGTACAATTTGTTTTATGAATTGATTAAACTCTTTTATGACTTATGCTTCCCGTTCAACCTAGTTAAAGTTTCAGCTCAGCGGAAGCCATTTTGGATTACAAGTGGTATCAAAACATCGTGTAAACGCAAAAGGAAAATGTACTTTCAATTAAAATCTAAAAACGATAAACTTAAATATAATGCATATACAGCACTTTTAAAAAAAAGTTATTAATAAATCACAACGCATTCAAAACAACAATTACATCAACAAGTCTAAAAATATAACAAGATCTACGTGGAAGATAATAAATTCAAATAATTTCACAAAGCCAAAAGAAATTTTGAAGAGTGTAACTTATAAAGGGAAAACGATTACTAAGCCAGGTGATATTGCAGAAGCTTTTAATGATACATTTATGAATCCTGTACAGAACTGCAAACCAATAAATTACAGAAGTAACATTGAACGTATATCAAATTCATTGTTTATGAATCCAACAACGCCCGATCATATAGTTAAAATAATTAATAGCTTAAAAAATAAAACAAGTGTTGGTCACGATGAAATAACCACTTGAGTATTAAAATTTTGTAATTTTCAGTTTGCTCGGCCGCTTTGTCACATTATCAACTTAACTATAAATAATGGGATTTACCCTGATAAGCTAAAAATATCAGTAATTAAACCTATTTTCAAGAAAGGGGATAAAGAAGATTGTAGAAATTATCGCCCGATTGCTCTGGTTTCTGTCATTTCCAAAATTTTTGAGAAAATCATATATACAAGCATATATAATTATTGCGAACGATTCAATTTACTAGCATACGAGCAATACGGATTTAGAAAGGATAGATCTACGAATCTAGCCATATATCACATGATAAAAGTTGTATCGGAATGCCTCGACGATCGCGTTCCAGTAACTGCTATTTTTATGGATATGTCAAAAGCTTTTGATTACGTAAATCATGAAAAGCTTCTGCAAAAGTTATATATGTATGGTATCAGAGGACCTATATTTGGTCTTGTATCGTCATATTTAAATAACCGATTTCAATGCACAGAAATCTCTTATATTAATGAGGAAAATCGATCTGAAGTGCAGGTATGATCTCATTCGCAGCTTGTAATGTGTGGTGTACCCCAAGGAAGTATACTTGGGCCGCTTCTTTTTCTATTGTACATCAATGACCTACCTAGACATGTGCAGCATGAAATGATCCTTTTCGCAGATGATTCTACTGTTATGATAAAAAATAACAGCAAAAAATCATACGAATGTGTTATTGCTGAAGCTTTGTCTGATATTATCAATTGGATGAAAGCTAATGATCACGTCATAAACCCAGATAAGACAAAATATATGCTGTTTTATCTTCCCCAAAACCGGAAACAAGAGACTGTTGTTGTTAAGTATGAGGGGCATTTGATTGAGCGAGTAAAACAAATACGTTTCCTTGGTGTGTTGGTTGATGAATGTGTAAGCTGGAAACCGCATACCAAATATCTTACAAGTAAAATTAGTAAATTTGTTTATCCTCTAAGAAAATTAACACAAACTGTCTCACAAAAAGCTGCACTTACTGCTTATCATGGATACGTTGCCACCAACTTAAGATATGGTATCATACATTGGGGAGGTGCGGCTGATGTTAACCTGTTGCCATTGTTTAGTATGCAAAAAAAGTGTCTCAGAGCAATGTTTGGTGCCAAACAAACAGACAGTTGCAGACCTCTGTTTGTAAAATTAAGAATCCTAAATCTGCCCTCATTGTACATATACCAAGCCTGCTTATTCGTCAAAAGTAATTTACATTATTTTAACTCGCACATTGCTAAGCACCGGAGGCAAACAAAGAATAATGTTACTATTATACCGTTTCACACATCTAGGACAGCTTTTTTCTCAAAAAGTTTTTATGCATTAGGACCAAAAATATATAATCATTTACCTGACAAATTAAAAGATTTAGAAATAAAAAACATTAAGAATAAATTATTAGAATTATTGACTGAAAGATGTTTTTACTCCTTAAAAGATTATTTGAGCTACAAACTTACATTCTAAATTAATTGACATTTGAAATATTTTCTGAATTATGTTTTAAGCAAAGAATATTAAAATCACTACGTTTTAGTTATAAGCTTACATGTATTTTGACATATCAATATTCCATTCATAGACTTAGCTTATACTGGCATAATTCCATTGTACTTTTGACATTATTATTTATTATCCACGTTTGTTGATATATTTCATTGTATGACATTATGCTTTATTATCCGTGTTATTTGATTTGATTTAATGAATAATGAGATAATGTTTTAAGTTCCATGATTTTAATAATATTGTAAGCCTTATCTAGGCAGGTTGTGGTGATACTTAATTACTTTTATAGTGTTAAATCTCTTAAACCTACAACTAGCACAATAAATGACTTATTCTATTCTATTCTTTCATTTGGCTATTACTTTTGTTGACAGTGGTAGAGCCACGCGGCAGCTTTTGCTGTCGCACGGATGGGCCGGCTCGAACCGGGGTGGTACCACGACCTCACAGAAAACCAGCATGAAGTAGAGGTTTACCTCTGCGTTTCGCTTGGTGAGTGCAGGTGGCCGGAGGCCCTTTTTACTGGAAATGAGGCATTCCATCTTAGTCCTCACGGGTGACAATGCATCTACATTTTGATTTGTAATAGAGGATAGATGTAGATGTCTATGGGCCGCAGCAACTACTTACCATCAGGTGGACTGTGTGCTCGTTTGTCACCCTTATCCCATAAATAAAATCTTTTTTGACATTTGAAAGGGACAATTTTATCTTAGTTCATTGGACGTGGGTTCAAG